GATAAGTACCTATCAATAATACCTTTAAATATAAATGGATCAAATGTCCCAATCAAAAGACAAAGGGGAGCTGAATGGATAAGAAAACAAGACCCAAATATATGCTGTCTACAACAGACCCACCTCAGAACAAAAGACTCACAAAGGCAGAAAAAAAAACCCAACAATTTCAGGAGGAATTTAAAGAAGAGATCAACAGCAATACAGTCACAGTAGGGCACTTTAAAACCCCACTGACTTTACTGGATAGATCTTCCAGACAAAAAATAAACAAACAGGAATAAAATGAAGGAGGGAAGATGGTGGCACTGTGACAAAAAGCAGAGCACCCCTGCTCCCAGCCACAGACTCTATTTACTCCTAAATACTACATAAACAGCTTGGAAAAACCGGAGGAATATACCTGAGTGGAAATATTTCAAGTAGGGAGCACTGAAGAAACATCATAGAGTCTGGTAAGAGAGGGGGAGTCCCCCCTGAAGCACTGCTGGGCTCTGAGCCCCAAGGCTTAGAGGATGCAAAACTCCCTCCCCTTGGGAGTGTGAACAGGCATCCAAAAGCTGAGATCTCAAACCTGAGCAGAGGAGGAGGGAAGGTGTGTCCCGCACATAGGGCAGAAGGACCCAGGGGAACAGCGTACCGGTGAGGAGGGGACCACAACTTCCTNAGATTTAATTGACATTTATAGAACAAAGTTGCAAAATATACATTCTCAAGTGCACATGGGGCATTCTCAAAGATAGATCACATGTTAGGATACAAAACAAGTCTCTATAAGTTCAAGAAGATTAAAATCATATCAAGCACCTTCTTGGACATTTACCCAATGGAAACTATGCAGCTTTAAAAAAGAAGGATCCCTTACCCTTTGAGACAGCATGGTGGGACCTGGAGAGTATTATGCTAAGTGAAATAAGCCAGGCAGAGAAAGACGAGTGTCACATGATCTGACTCATATTTGGAATCTAATGAACAAAATAAACCATTGAACAAAATAGATCCAGAGACATGGAAGCATGGAACAGACTGATGAATCTCAGAGGAAAGGCAGAGGTGGGTAGGTGGGTGGGGAGAGATTAACATAAGAATTTATATGCATATATGCATAACCCATGGACACAGACAATAGTAGGGTGAAGGCCTGCAGGCAGGGGTACAGGGTAAAGGGGATCAATGGGGGAAAAAGGGGACATTTGTAATACTTTCAACAATAAAGATAAATTAAAAGAAAAAGAAAACAACAAATTCACTGAACAAATTCACTAAATAAAATGATTGATTGATTCTTTAAAAATCACTTTGTGACCAAGTGCTCATATAGCATGAAGGCTTATATTTAATGAATGGCTTCCTCTTTGATTTCTGAAAGATCACATTAATAGTAAACAAACACTTAAAATATATTTAATATTTAGCTAATTTATCAAAAATTAACTTAAACTTTCTAAGGTATGGCTCTCTATTGACCAGTCTCTTTTGAGTTAAAGATCTTTTCTTATCCAGTGATATTATATGGTACCTTAATTTATATTATTTGAATATAGTAACATTTTAGAAAGCTTGAATGTATTGAATGAACTTATATACTAGTTATTAACTTTAAAATAATTTTCTTTCCTTGTTTCCAAGGCCAAATAATCTTTATCAATAGTCTTTCATTATACTGTATTTTGATTAATGGTTATAAAAATTGCCTGTTAATTTAATTATTATTCTCTTCTTTCTATACTGATAGAAAATAACTGTTGGTAGTAAAGTAATTTTTTTGGTAATTCCTGAACATCTTAGTAACTGTAAAAAATATATTTAGTTTCTCACCTAATGAACCCATTTCTAGAGAATATACAGTAGACCATGAAATGATAAATAACATTAAAAAATTCTAATGATTTCCAAATGCCATTTGCAATTCTAATACTATCATTTCAGTGATATGAGTGATAGTTTGATACTGAAGTAGTAGTTAAAATTATCCTAAAATAACACAATACTTTTTATGTTCTTACCTAGGCTGAATATGCCACACAGATGCATGTGGAGAGTTTATATTAAGTGCACAGAGAAAAGAATATTAGAAGGATCATACCTTTGAGACATAATCTTATAGGCATCTGGCAGATAGCATCGTATGTTCTCCATCTGAGCGGGGTCAGAGTCGCATATTTTGTCGTCGGTCCTCCCGTAGTTGGCACTCTCGATCATGATGACGTCCGTTCCCGGGCAGCGGAGCTCTATGGGGTAGCTCTCGCAGGACAGCTCCCTGCGGACCACCGCCATCGGGATGGGGGCTCGGCTGAAGGCTGCGGGCAGGAGGAAGCACAGTAAGTCCCCTTCGATACAGACAAAGGGAAGGTAAATGTGGTCACTTTCCAGTGTTTGGGTTAAAATAATGCCAAGGAATAAAGCTGGTGCAACTCACAATTTTAATCCAAATAGAATATCTATCATTTCAGTAACTTCACAGGTATTTTTTATCCTAACAATAGCAATTATTTCTTAAAAACCTTTCTAACAATTTTTTTTTCTTATACATGGAAAAAAGTACTCTGAATTTTCTAAAACTTTGGTTGGTATGTGAAATAAAGACGATATAGAAGTATCCTATTTACTGAGTAAGATTCTCAGATAAACTTCAGGGGTATTGTGTGTGCATTTTGTTCATTTATGGAAACCATTACCAAAGAATTGCACTGTTCTGGAGTTTTCATATACATATAGACAGACATATATATACTTAAATAAAATAGTTCATTTCAATTTTAAAGTAAAATTATATAGTTTTAAGTAATAATATAATTTATATATTTTGAATTAAAGAAATAATGTTCTTTAAGAAAATGAAATGTAAATTTAAAAAAAATTTTTTTCTTTAGCTCCCTCCCCACAACTTTTCCCAAATGTCAAGACGCAGCCAGTTAACAATGAGGTAACCTTCCTATTAGACTATTCCCCAGAAAAACAAACAGACATTACATGTTTCCTCCCACCCCTTTTTATTTTACTCAAGTAAATTTTAGTAAGATTGTATCACACAACACATATTACTTCATACTTTAATTTATTCTATTAATTAATTTAACAACATATGATGGAAATGTTTTCATTTCTATATTATATCACTCATATTTAATGGCTGCATTATATATAAATGGAAAAGATTACTTCATCGGTCTTACTCTGATGGACATATAGGAATATCCTAGTGTTTCTGTGTTATAATCCTACAAAGAAGTATTAACTTATTGTGTACCATAGCTATAACATTTTGTAAAAAGTATAATTATGCAAATATATTTAATGGTATATTTCTATAAATAAAACTTTTCGGATCAAATGGGAAATATATTTCAAGTTTGGTAAATATCAACAACTAGATGTCTAAAGTAATTAATAAAAACATACAATACCACCAGCAGTACTTTTCAAAAGAGCATAGTCCCAATTCCTTTAAATTTTGCCAGTGTGATAGGCAAAGAATGATATAATATACTTATTTTTACTTTCACTGTTTTATTTATATAATAAAATATATTTTTATATGTTTATTGACTCTTCATATTTCCTTTATTTATGAATTGATTGTTCACATTTATCCATAGTTAGCATTGTAAAAGTTCTTTCTATAGCAAAAAAAATTGAAAATTTATTCTTCATGTTTGTGGCAAATATTTTTCCAGTTTGCTGTTTGATTTTACATTTCCTGAACATATATATTTCTGTTTTATACAGCCAACTATCTATCTTTTCATGTCAAGTTTTATAGTTTCCTACTCTAAGACTGTGAACATAATCAGTATATTACTGGAAGAAAATCAAATGTTTAATTATAAAAACTCAACAAGTCTTATTTAAAAATGTATGTAAGTGAAATTCTAAGTTGTTTACCAACAATCTAATGAGTTGATTTCACATAAGGGAATTAATTTTAGGGATACTTATGTGGTAGCTATAAATCTGCACTGACAGTTTAACCCATTAATGTGCACACCCATTAAAACATGTTTTGTTGCTCTTTGATTTAGCATAAAATGTGCTAGGAATAGAAGGAAGAAGTGAAACAAAGCAGTAAAAAAAAGTTGGAGTAGGGAAAGAGAAATTTTACTACTATAAGTGTTTTCACTTGAAAGAGAATATTGATTTGATGTGTGAAACCATACCTATCATTTCAAAATTCAGAGTGACAGAATGACATCAGTATAACTTCTGAGCAGGCCACTCAAAGTTCTCAAGCAGCACTGCACACTCATTTCCATTCTGGATGCCATTCACATCTTGTTTGTTCTCTCCTCTCTCTCTCTCTCTCTCTCTCTCTCTCTCTCTCTCTCTCTCTCTCTCTCTCTCTCCCCCTCTCCTGCTCTCTGTCATCTGCCACATTCAGAGCATTCATCAAAGAGAGTTAACATAATTAGAAGTGATGGTAACATTATTTTTAAATTTTGATCTTGAGACAACATTTTGACAGGTATTCTCACAATAAAGAGACACTGAATTTCTGAAATGTGCATTTCTACATTTCTATCATGCCTCAAATAAAATGTCCTTGTTTACCTATCATTCAGAAATTAAATGACTGTTTAAACATAAAATCCTTTTTAATATTAAGAGTCTATTTTCAAGGATAAAGTCATTTTCATTAATGTATTTAGTATTTTAATTAATGGCATCATTGAATAATAAAAATGTTCTAATTTGGGAATCCAGTTTCATGATTTCCATCAGTTTAAATGGAATCATAGTGGTTAGTTTATTTTTTATAAAAAGTGTTTGAAATCAGAATTTCCCAGAATGTTTACAGGAAAGATTTGAGGATTTGCTAAAAGACAATTTGCTTCTTACAACTATGGTATAAACATTAAAAAAAAAAATCACATTGAAACTGCTCCCAAACATTGAAATGATCTGGCTATCTTTTGTTTACTTAAGTGGAAAAAAAAAAGATAATTTAACAAAGAAAATAAGCAAATCATATATAATAGGCAAAGCATNTATCTTTTGTTTACTTAAGTGAAAAAAAAAAGATAATTTAACAAAGAAAATAAGCAAATCATATATAATAGGCAAAGCATTTGTTTGACTATAAATGGACAATTCAGTTAATTAAAACGTCATTTTTTATCAAAACGTGTGCTTAAACATATATTTAATTTGGGTCTTAACTGTAAAAAATATAACTTAGAATCAGACACTAGACAGTTACAAAGTCAACTAGAATGTGGAAACCCAAATTTTCCATATATTTCTTTTGGCCCTAAAAGAAGTTTTCTAAAGTTTTGGGTATGGTGAACTTTTACAAAGAACTGGAGTTGATTTGTCTGTGCTTTCTACCATTTAACATATAATTGTATTTGTATCACTGACCCAGTGATAAATTGCACTGCTAAATGATGGATGCTTTGTTTAAAGGAATGCATTACTGGAAACTATAACATTATCTCATTACCTATTTAAATTACTTTTAATTATATTACTAAATGCTTTAATCAGCAAGCAAATTACAATGAAGGCGAAATGAGTAAGTTTTGTTTTGTTTTACCATTTAGTTATCATTGCTAACAATGGAGAAACTTGTTTCTAAAGAAAAAGACTAAATGAAAATGTCAACCATTCAAATGCAGGACAGTCAGTGCAACAGTCTATTGTATGTTGTACCAGGGTCACACTGCACTGGGCAACGGGAAATGGCAACGAAAAAGTAATTTGAGGCAACGAAGGCATATTCTTGAGCTCTTTCCCATTTTTACCCCATGAGTTAATAACAAGTAACAGTGTCACCGATTCAGTGTGTAATACATGTTAGCTGAAGAAACTTTAGATGTGAGCTCTGCTAGCCTTCTGGTAGAATGCTGCATTTTGGAACTACCCGTGACCATGGGCCAAAGGGAACAGGAATAAAACTGAGCTTCCCTGCTAAAGACGACCAGAGCCTCAGCAAGTGCCCAAGCTCCATGTCAAACATGTGCCTAAAGAAAGTGATACCAGGGCTCAGACAAGAGAAACGGCTCCCTGTTCTTCCTCACTTGTTTCAGCACGAATCACTTTCATTCTTTCTGCTTTTTCTGAGACCTCAGCTTCTCTGTTGCTGAAACCTCTTGTTTTTGTTTCTCTCTCCTTGGGCTCTCTCTATTGTTAAGCCAGCTGGTATTGCTTCACTCATAACGGTAAATCCTGGTAAATTTGGGTATAACTAAAGATACCAGTCTAGTGATTGGGTGGAGGTGGGACAAGAAGCTAAAAACTGGTGACAAAATAGGAGTCAAATGATTCTTCGTGTATCCCAAGGACAGAAGTCAGAAACCAGGATAGCACTAGGGTACTAGAGGGGAGCTTTTGAAGAAGGGACTGTTCCTTGAGACACGGGGTTTTAGAAAAAAGTGTATCAGTAAGAATAAATAAAAGACTAAACACAAACTAAGAGGCAAGCAGCCAGTTAGCTGGATGAGGGCATAGCCCAGCATAATTAATTAAGTTTTAAACACGTTGAATTTAAGGTGTCAGACTCAAACTCAGAAATGTTCAATCCTCGGTTAGATTCATGATTCTAGAACTCAGGAGTAGAATATAGGCTAAAACCATGGTAATAATGTGAAGTCTTTTAGGGAAGGCCTATCAAGGAGACCATGAATGCAGAAGCTGGAATATCAGTGCTATGGAAGGAATGTTGGAGTCACAGGACGCGTGTGTGTGTGTATACATATATACAACACAGAGAAGGGTACTGTGTATCTATTCAAGGAAGATTTTGACTAAACAGACTAACCCGCCAGCCAGTGCTTTGAGGGGAGGGTACTTAAATAGTCAAGGGCTATTACAAACACTTATACCTATCAAGCTGTCAATACCCTGTTCAAATCTGGTTTATCCATGGATTGTTCTACATACTCAAGGATTCACTCAAAAAATAAAAGCTGCAGCTTAATCTCCATTTAGCAGAGAATGAAACCTCTAACCTGCCTTATGGTTGTTTGTTGTGATTATAACAACATTAGCAAAACAGCCTGCATTTGTATTTATTTTCCATTTCTTTACCTTTACACTTTGTTTACACCAAATTGTGTATATTTAAATAAAATTAAATCTACTAGAGAAAAAAAAAAACTGAAGGCATAGATTTTTAAAATATGCTTATAAGAAGGCTATTTTGTGCAGTATAAACAAGATAGTTGCATTATATGGGTAATAACAGAGAACATATTTGATCTGTTTAGAAACAAAAAATTACATGATTTGATGACTGGTTGAACGTGAGGGTAAAAGAGAGCGTGATAAGGATGACTCCCAGGTCTCTTGCATAAGCAAGCAC